CTTTTTTTTTTTTTTTTTTTTGTTTTTTTTTAATTCTGCAATTGGGTGCATCCACACTCCAGTTTTTGGGGTGGTTTTGCTGCATTTCGGGTCATTCCCAGCTCAGAGCAATGGGAGCTGCTTTGCATTTCGGTGTGCTGGTCCCTGCCAGCTCACCAAAGGCACGGGCTATTTGGGCTGCCCATTAGCTCCTTCCCCACTTGGCAGGTCGTTAGCCCGAGCTTTTAATTGGAGGGGCCCCCAAAGGCAGGAAGGCAGCAGGGGAAAGCAGGTGCCCCACGAGCATCCTCCTCTGGCAAGTAGGGAGCGAAGGGGACCCCGCTTCTCGCCACCATCATTTTTGGCAGCAAAACATAAGGGTTTAGTTTTACCCTGGGATTTAAATCCTCCTTTGCATTATTGCTGCTGATGCCCCCAAAGTCTCCCTTTCCCTGCCACCGTGATGGCACCCGGGAGGCCCAGGCTGATGCTGGTGCCACAAATAGCCCCATCACCACCTCCCGGGTCCCAAAATATCCCTCTGCCTGCCCCCCGCCCCGGGAGAGGCTAAATACAGCCTCACTGGAAGCTCCTGGCACCTTCCAGGGAGCTGCCAAACCCCGGGGACCTTGACGTGTGTGTGTCCCCAAATTTGTCATGGAAAGGCCATTTTGCTATAAATAGAAGCAAAGCTTCACCTGCCATGGCTCATGGCTAGGGCTGTGACCATGGGCACCCTCGGAAAGGCTGGCGGGGACGAGCCGGGGCCACACTGCTGCTGGCAGCACGGCGGGGCACGGGGTGATCCCCTCCACATACTCAGGAGCTCAATATATAAAAATACATCTATTTATGGAGCTATATATATAGCTTCAAGACACAGTGTGTCTCAGCAGGGGATGATGGCATGGCCTGAGCCAAGCTGCCGGTGTTGCTGCCGTCACCGTGCCGTAAATCTCTTGCTGCAGCTGGGGAGCAATATGCCATTTCCTTCCCAAAACCCGCTCTCCTCATCGTTTTACCAAAAAACTTTGGGTTTGGAGTTTCCTTTCCAGCCCCCTCAGTGGCTCCTGGGCTGGTTTGACAGTGGTTTTGCCACTGGACAACCCCACAGGGCACTGCATCGTCCGACCCCAGCACAGGGATGCCCCTCACATGGGGGGATGCTCCAGCACATGACCCTCTGAGAAACACCCCAATCCCCAAAATTTTAAGGGACACACACACACCCCTTGCACAATGTGGCTTTGTAACGGTATGTTTCCAGCTGTACCCGCCCAGCACCACTTGCTGCTCTGATTGCTCCGAGGTGGTATTCACATGAGTGAGCAACCTCAGCTCCAAACACTCCGGTTGTGCATTGTCCTTTTCAGAAACAACCTTTTTAGGGAAAATTTTCATCAAAAGTCAGTGTCTGTCCACAGGGAAAAAAAAAAACCCACCACCCAACAACAGAAGCTCAAGCCAGAACAAACTTGCATTTGAATGGAAATATTTTTTTTTCAGGCTGGTTTTATCCCCCACACCTTCCACCAGGTTCTTCATTTGCCAAGCAGCTTAATTACACGTTAGTGAAAGCCTTTTCCCTAATTGCAGGCTTGGGTAATTGGTCTCATTTTTGCAGAGTGTGTTTGGAGTTGGGGAGCATTCCCCCTGGCAGGTGTGACCCTCCCTGTCTCCCTCCCTTGCAATTTTAGCCGATTCTCCTGATTTTCTGCCCAAACCCCCGCCCCCCCCCGCAGCTCCCAGGGGAGGAGCAGCAGCCCCTTGCTGGGCTGGCAGGGCCCCCCTCCCCAGGCAGGCACCTGGCCACCTCAGGGGCCTGACTCAGCTGCCCCTGAGTCACAGCCCCATGACCTGCAATTAGGAGTGGGCACAGCAGGATTCCCCCCCATTCCCAAAACGTTCAGCTCCCACCATAAGGGCTGCCCTGCCAGGGAAAGGCTTCTGAAGATGCCAGCAGGGATTTCAGACCAGCTGGGAGCAGTTGCATCATCCCTCTCTGGCCCCAAGTGACAACAGGGAGACAGCAGGTTATCAATTAAGACAGCTTTTATTAGAAAAGTAAAAAACCCACCCCGACACAATTGCATAGGAAGTCCTGCACTTGAACATCAAGTGTATGAGTGTAAACTGTAACCAATGAAGCGCCCACAGCATGTCACAGCAAGGGGTCCTGCCCTCCGTCCCCACATCACCTCGCACGCCCCTCTCCCACCACTCTCTCATGATCAAAGACGCAATGTGATTTCGAGCCCCCCCTCCTGCCTTACTGGGAGCCCACACAGAGCCTCCCAGGTGCCAGCAGTGGGGCTATGTCTTCCATCCAGACCTACAGCCCAGCTGTCACTCACTCCCACACACACCCTCCCCCAGAAACCCCATTGATTACAATCCTTGTTACAAAAAACCATGATTAATCAGCCAACAGGAGGAGACCACCTGCCCCCCAGCAGCCCCGCTGCTGCATCACCGCAATGATCCCACAATCATCAACAGTGTGAAGCGACCTCTGCCTGGGTCCCGGTCCGCTCCACATCAGGGACGCCCCAGCACAGGCGGGCACCCCGCAGGGACCTCCGCCTGCCCAAACTACTTCCACCTACAGCCCTACTCCAGCCTAACCTAAACTACAGCGGCCTCCAGGAGCCGCCACGCTCTAACCAGCTCTTCCA